ATGTCTCTGATGACGAATCCGCGACGGATATCAAAACGTCGTGCGAATAAAAGCATTGTCCAGGCGACCGAGCAGACTTCTTCTCAATTACTTCCTGGGACTCGCATGTTCGCTTGTATTGGCAGAGGTTTTTCTTATTAACTTCAGCCACTGTGATCGATGAATTGCCAAGTACTCTAGGTGAAGGTGCACTCTTTGTGTGCGCACAGTGGTGGTGAGACTTTGTTAAACGCCCCACCTTTTGACCCCATCTTCTATGATATTCCTCTTTCCTGTCCTTAACTAGATCTCTTCTAGTATCCTGGAAAGAGACCGCGACCTGGATTCAGTAGAGGTCATAGGCGTGAAGTCGAGCACATTTACGCAGAGCTGAGGACACGCACCTATAGAGCAGTCAATTAGGAGGCAGCAGTAAGATCAACCAATCTGATCCGCGTACACACGGGTTAAAGAAATACAATAAAATCTCGGATCAGTTTGTCTGTGTTTGTGTTTGCATGAAGACGAAGACATTGTTCATTGACATTACTGGTGCCTTGAGACGCTGAGCGATGCGCTGCATACGGTTATTTTTACCCTTCCTACTTGCAGCGCTGCACACAACCCAGGTGGTGGGCTTCGGCTTCGGCGGTGGCCACGGAAAAGGATATGTACAGGAGTCAGCTGGCGGCCTCGTCGTTGATCCACAAGATCAGGCTGAGCGTGAACGCATCAATGCCGAAATGGACGCCAACGCAGTCACTTATGGGGAGGAAACGGAACAGCTCTTTACATACTTCAAGTCTAAAGATGGACAAGTTACCCTTAATATGTCCTGCAGCAAATCTGCTCTCGTTTTTGAGCAGGAGGAGTCTCCCCTGCCAGTCGGGTGCAATTTAACCTACGATTTCCAGCGTTCCATCGCGCTCTCCTTTGAAATTGACTACCCGCCGGTGGTCTACCTAGCTCCTGCGTTCTGGCTTCACCTACAGCCCACAGCCTCATCCGGACCATCAAACATCTACCTGAATCTCACCATCCAGGGAGTGAGGATGGGTGTAGCCTATCTGCGAATTTGGGCTCGTGAAGCTATCGAGGAGGAGAAGAGTGGAGCCGGTGTTTATGTGTGGCACAATTGGAGCCGGTCGGACCCTGTGCTCGTGGAGGCCTACTTGTCGAAGCTGGCGAACAGAAGTGAGGTCGACGGTGACAGCTCTGTC